TTTGAATCTGTTATTCCAACTCACGCAAATATTACTAGTTCAAGATTATCACAATTTAGTATAGGATATTACAAGTAGCGTACTGCGTAGCAATAAAAAACCTATAATTTAAGTGTCAGTTCGTATATGATATGATAATACGATGTTCACCTGAAGTACAATCACATTAATTCCATGAAACTAGTATAAATTATATTTCATATACTTATCTATTTATTAATTAAGTAATTTTGTACGTGGGAAAAAAATAAATAATAATGCAAATGAGACATAGCCGAGACCTACATATAATATACATAATATTACCGGTTTCAAGTTTAATTTACACGTGAAACGACATGATGAAACGCACGCGTTAGTCATAACTCATAACTCATAACTCATGATATGTATTATATATGTATTAGGCACTTACCGATTTATACCTAAACCAAGTAGGACATAGATGCTACATATAGTACGTATATATTATGTTAATTTTTATTTATGAAACGATTGATCTTTTCTAGATTGGGACATTAAATATAATTATTAATTATTATTCAGAGACACATTATAAGTGTGTAGAAAAAAACATATTACTTTTAAAAAAAAAAAAATGATTTTTTCACAGCAATGTAAATCTATATTGCAAAAAAAGCGTATTTGTCTTATACCATTTTGGTTTATGAAAAACGCATATTCATTCGATGTTTAGTGATTTAAAATGCATTTTGTTTATACCCGATCAACTAAGAAAATTAAATGAAAATACAAATCAATTAGCAATTACTATTCCTAGGTATAATAGCAATATATCTAGGTATATTACTGCAGTATTACTCACGCAATATGTACTATATGCAATAGTATATACTATATTGTATATACGAGTACAATCGATCTATCTACCAATAAAATCTCCGATTAAAACAATATTAATAATTTCTTCATAAGTATATCATACACTTAAGCAGGTACACTATAATGTGGTACTTTTAATAATACATAATCACGAATTTTATTAATCTACTCGTATGGTCTCGTGCTTAAGATTTTTTTTTTTTATTATTATTTTTAAATGTTTCAGCACATCAGGTGCTATTACAGATGCATTTACGATTCGTACATACGATAAATAATATTATATTACATACATAGAGTAATTACATACGTGTAGAATACTGTAGATGTAAATTAATATTATATGTTTGTGTATCAAATAATTCAATGTATGAGTAGGTAGGCTTATAAAAATTTTCAAAAATAAAAATAATTAGGTATTTATTGTAATATTGAATGAATATGGTTTTTTTTTAAGAGAATACTTACAAATAACTATATTATTTAAGTACTGTATACAAAGAATGTTGATTAACGTTAAAAATGATATGTATACACAATAAGTCATAAATCGATAAAATTAATAAATTTAGTGAAGAAATATACAAGTTTTTTCAGTATTAAATCGTGTCAGTTTATTGAGTTTTTTTACTAGTGGAGAAAAATGTTACCGACTATGATCCGTGACGGACCGCACGTCCTCCGAATGTCTTGGCACGGCTTTAATAATAGACATAAATAATAGAAGGTAAGTAGCAACGATTATAGAACATAATATATTATTATGATGATTTGGTTTTTACTTTTCAATTTTTAATAGTTAATTTCATGTTCATTAGATCTTAATTGCATGAATAAATATTAGTAATATATGAGTTATGTTGCTACTGTAAAGAATAAGGAAATAATTTAAAACAAAATTATTTAGGCGTACTAAAGTTTATAACAAAATTATTTAAATAGGTTACCTAATATTGTATAAACCAGAAAGACGTATGATTAAAGATATTTATTGGTGTCTAGTAATAAAACAATCAAATTTAAATTAAAGAATCATGAATAAAAAATGGTTTTGAAAGATTAATAAATACAAAACGCATGGTTAATAAGTAATATTTATTGATTTCTAATCGCGTAAAATACTAAAATAGAATTTTAAAAACTAACTAATTCGATTTTAAAAATAGTTGTAGTATATTAAATACTAACACTCTTTTAGTTAAATTTGTATTTTTATAAGTATATTTTACCAAAAAAATATTTTATAATTCTAACTCTTAATCTGCATTATTTTATATTTGTAGAAGGTATAGTTACTTGTTTTCTTTAAAATTTTTCTTTAATCAGTTCAATTTATTCAAATACGAATTTCCTATTAACCTTTTGCGATGACTTTACAGATATAAATTATTTAACCTCACGTTATAATAAGCTGAAGAACTAGTTTTTATGAGAAATATTATATTTTGTTACTTAAACTCACAAGTTATATAAATCGCAATTCGTCAATATTATAATTTCAAAAGACAGAAATCATATATGATAAACGATTTTTAGTTAGCTAAATTTGAAACTAAGCTTAATACTATATGGCATTCGTTAATATAAAATACCTAATTTATATATATATATATATATATATTATAAATGTTATTTGGTAATGTGATAGATAAATGGGTTGTTGTGTATGAAACTAAAACTACGTATAATAAACTTTAATTAAATTATCTCTAATAACATTTCTTTACATAATAATGAAAAATAAAATAATAAATTGATCAGAATAAAAATATTCAGAAATCGTTTTGAGGGACCACTGAAAGTCTCATCTTAGTTGAGTGACTCCTTGGCTTTCTCCCCATTAGCCTCTCAAAGTATACTATGGAAAATTGTGATGATAAAAAAAATATCAAACGAAGTTCCATAAATGGACGTCTTTCTCCACCTTCAGAAATCATGTTTATTGTTAATTTAAAAATAAATACATACACAATATTGCTATTGTAAAAAAAAAGATCACACATAGATTTCATATATATTATTTTTTTAAATAAAAATTGTTAAAAGCATTTTTAGGGATTATAATTATTATGTTTTACATCAGATGCTAAAATGTCATATTATTATATTAATACTATTAATTGATCACTATAACGATATACTATGTAGTTATTATATATTATAATTACCATCACTACCACTGTACTATAGATATACGTACAATACCTATTCCACTTAATTATTATGTTAGATTGTTAGATATTCACATATCATGTGCTGCAGTATTATTTTTGAGTATACTTAAATTATCTATAATTAATAAGTCAATTGAAAAATGTAATTTAGGATTCTATATATGGTATGTTCAGTACACACCTATATTTTCTCACATAAATGTCCTCGGTTTTGAACAAAACGTTTTTGATTTTGAAATTGTATTTTATACAATTTGACTACTAATATACCTAGTTTGTCTCACATCGATAAAAAATTATTTTATAAATTATCGTATGTATATATCAAGTGATATATTGTATAGGTACTTACCTACCAATCTAGTTTATTATATCATATTTATCATATTATTGTTATCTACCTTGTTATAATTAGGTAAATACGGCGATTATACAAAATGAGAATGACCATAATAACGTCATTCGTCGTGCAGCCGTGCATAATATAATAAATTAAGACTATTTGAAAGATAATTTTGTTATTTCTATATTATTTATACAACATAGTAATAATATATGATAAACAAAATATTATTTGGACATGTAGAATACTCATTAAAACGGTATTTACAATTAATTTCAAACGTACGCACTCGGATATAAAACATATTAACATAGATACGTAGGTGTGTTATCAATCTCAGTGAATTTATGTAAATACGTAACTATAGCATTGATTAAGTATATAGTTAATCAATCAATGACTACAGTTGTATGTTACGGCCGCATTCGGTTAGATTATTACAGTTTATTTATTGAAAATCGATACGATCCTCCATATAATAATGTGCAACACGTGTGTTCAGTGTATATACTATCTAAATAATAATCATAATTGATGTATCATCAGCGTTCGGATATTTGTATTTCCCGTGTTCAATTATATGCAAAACATTATAATATATACTTAAATATTTTATCGTTTCTTCGCGGCGTCAGGATCTCTTTGGAATTATTATCCTGTGGCCTGTATAATAGGTATATACAATATTATATACAGTTGTTGTGACGACCGACAGCTACGTATATCAATGTTATACTTACCATAGCTATATAAATTATATTATTAGTGTTGTACTATATAGCTGCTATACTATAACATAGATAATAATACCTACTATACCGCGATGGTTCAGCCATTCTAGAATAATTTACCCGATGCACGAGCGAGTTAGGTATAATGCGCCTGCAATTCGTTCGTCATCGACTCTGATTATTTTATTATACGTATATCATTATGTTAAAATTTATGCGCGAACCGTTCGACGGGAAAAAATTATGATACGATATATTACGTGTTGAAAAAAAAAACTAATAACGTTTTAAATGTCGCGGAACATTTTGCAACGAAAAAAGTGCAGGAAAATAATTGACATGAATAGGAAAAAAACCCCGAGCACGCGTGAATGATGTTCGGACGAATCGGACGTTTGCAGTAGCAGTGAATTTAGTAAAATATACATTGTAATACAGAGAAACAGAGAGACCTAGACCTAAAATGACCGGTCGCGTTCGACGCTCTTTACATAACATTATTATCAACGATCGTAATAATTAATAATCAAACGAATGAAAGTTGTTCTGGAATTTCTATAATGAATCATCGGACTCCGGTTGAGAGAAAAAAAAATATTAATAATAATAATATAATTAGTGGAACAATTTAAAACGCACGTACCTATTATTATAATATAATACGTATATAATGTATATAATCGGCGGTGACTATTGGTTGACGTAGTGGTGACGGTGGTGTCGGTGGTAGTAATAATATATATGTAGTGGTGGTGATGGTGGTGGAAGAGGTGGAGGTGAAGGTGGTGGCGGCGGTGACTACTACACCTTGTATATAGATTCGGGCGGCGGCGGCGGTGGCGGCGGATCTCTCCATTGAACGGCGGCCCCCCTCCCAATGAGCCGACCCTCTATATAACCCATTTGCCCGCCTCAATTTGAACAGTCTACGCACACCGAACTTCACACGCACGTTGTCCGTTCATCGTTATATACACAAATATAATAATCGGCTGCTCTCCGGAAGTCTTCTCGTCTCTTGGAACTCAATCGTTCTTCCCGGTTTTTCGCTCGACCGCTGTCTTGCTCATTCCGAATTTGATTTTTTCTTTTCAAAAAAAAAAATTCCATTCTCGTCTGCGTCCCATACAACATGACTGCGGAAACGTTCGAAACTATCATGCGCAGAAATAATACGACTCTGGTAGCGGCTCAAGAGGGCCCGACAATGATGGACGCGGTCACCAGCCGCCCCGGCAAGGCTTCCTGCAAGTACAACAAAAACGCGATGCTCATTTTGGCGTTCTTCGCGATGGTGTGTTTGTGCTTGCTGTCTAATGCTGGCGCTGCTGTTGCTCATCAGAGGGTAAGTCGTTCGTAAAATTTAATCTATACATTTTACCTGATATTGTTGTGTGTTTTCGGCTCTCGGTATCCCTCCAAAGTCGATACAATAATAACGTGCGTATTACGGCAGTTTTGTTTGACGCGTATTTGTCGTTGTTTTTACAGAGGGCTATCGCTCCGGCCACCGAGAACGCAACGGCCCCGATCAAAGAATGCCATCAAAATAATCCTTGCGGATGGGCCATCTACGTACCGTTCACCCGCCGTATCGATTACTTCATGAAAAATACGTGAGTTCATCCTGCCATCTCAATGCACTCGTATAGCAAAATATAACGGTCGTTTTAATTAATACAAATTTGCTTGATCACAGATGCATTTGCAACCCGAACTTGGCGTGCTTGAAGACCGACGATGATCTGTCCGTCAACGCGTACGTGTACCGCTGCAAGCCCAGACCCGTGACTACCACGGAAATCACACCTACGACGACCATTTGAGATTTGAGCGAGGGATATTGTCCACAGCGACGAAGTCGTGGCCGACACCACACCAATGGCGCTGCTTCGTTACCACTGGACAAGTGAAGAATTACTAGTTTATTCCTAATACCAAATCTACTTATGTTCCGGAAATTCATTTTTTTTTTTTTTTTTTTTTTTTTTTTTTTCTAATTAGACTTAAGTTTTAAGAAAAA